GCTATCTGCAGTGTATGATATATGTTTATTATAGTAAGCGACTGAAGGCTGCACAAGTATAACTCGTTTACGTTTTAATAATATTGATATTTTATGGTTCTCCGTTTGACTTTTCATCACAAATGAGACAACATTATTTTATTGAATGCGATGAATCAACGTTTTCTATAAGCTGATATCAAAAATGATAATTAGAAGAGACTTGTATCTGTAACAATGTGAAAATATTGATGTTTTATAAAAGGCTGTGATAAACTGTTTTTAAATTAAATTAATTGTTGCGCTGCGTATATCGTGGCGTGCTGTTCGCCTCTACATGTGCTGTGTACGATCATTGTGCCGTCTACATGTGTTGCTTTTGTACACGCGAGTCTGTTGTCACATGTCACATGTCTTACCTTGTTGCGTCCATATAAGGTAATTATTTTAAATATAGGTGTTTGAAGTCTTTCTCCAGAACTTGTATATACACATATAGATGTGACAAAGTCTTATTCTGTAATTGGTTTATGTTAAATGATAATATTAATCAGATTTTGGATAAAGTAGCATTAATTATATTGTGAAATTTTACTTTTTATAAAATTATCAGAATCTTGATCATACGTACATGTGTATTCAATCAATACATAGATAGCTCTTTTTGAAGTACTGTATACATGTTTTTATTCATCATGGTGTAAACTGTGATTTACGTGTCTCTTTTACAGAGATAATAGAGTTTTCGATTAAGAACAGATACAGATACAGATCTTTATTCTGTGTAAACCCCCGACTCATAGTTGGGGTAGGTTTTTTAATATTGTATATGATAATGTAAACAAGTGCTAATGAATAAGGATAATTGTATTCAATAAAATTATGTATAAGTAATTTGTGTTAGTAATTTCAACTATTGATTATGATGAAGTCAGTCATTGTAAAGTTAAAGTATTATACCTATTTTTGAATAACCTATTGCGTGTGTAGTATGAAATATGTATGCACTGAATGTACATGTTAAGAATTATATGTAAGCGCGGTGTTTCATTATATTATCAATTGTATTGTGTCTTTGTAGGGTTTTTTGATTATGTTCCACATATTGTGGAAATAAACATGTGAACAAGAAATCTGCGTCGACCTTGACTTTCATTCAACTTTACATATCGACGCATTGAGAATAGTCTGACCTACTTTTAGTTTTTGTCATGATGTGAGAACAGGGCTTGCTAATACCCATTAGAAGTAGTTCCATGCTGTGATATCTGATCAAAAAGTGATGGGCACGATTAATTAGGTTGTTAAATCACATGTTCTCTATTCAACTCAAGCTCAGCTTCACAGCATAATTCGTATAACACACTACATTGTACTTCTATAAAACTCATTATGTGATCTTAAGAATTCCATCTTATAAATAACCCCCTTCCTCTGCCCCTTTGTCTCTATCCATTAAGAATGCCCCTATGTGCTATACTCAGTGATTTCTTTGAAATTAAACCGATGAATTTCTATGCTCCAGTCATGTCTTACATACGCATGGTAAGGTAACGTACGGTTAATGTAACTCTAACAAACAACCTGTACGGAAGTCCATTGGTGCCAATTGGAATATAAAAAATTCAAATTATTTACTCACATTACAGAATGTCACAACTTACTATCAGGTGTCAGATTATTTACTGTATGGGTAAATTTCCACACCACAGATTGTCACAGCTTACCCTTAAATGTCAATTATTTACTGTATAGGTAAAATTTTCACACTACAGATTGTCACAGCTTACCCTTAAATGTCAAATTATTTCCTGTATTGGTAAAATTTTCACACTACAGATTGTCACAGCTTACCCTTAAATGTCATATTATTTACTGTATGGGTAAAATTTTCACACAACAGATTGTCACAACTTACCCTTAAATGTCATATTATTTACTGTGTGGGTAAATGTTTACAGTACGGATGGTCACAGCTTACCCTTAAATGTCAAATTATTTACTGTATGGGTAAATTTTCACACTACAGATTGTCACATCTTACCCTTAAATGTCAAATTATTTCCTGTATTGGTAAATTTTCACACTACAGATTGTCACAGCTTACCCTTAAATGTCAAATTATTTACTGTATGGATAAAATTGTCACACAACAGATTGTCACAGCTTACCCTTAAATGTCATATTATTTACTGTATGGGTAAAATTTTCACACTACAGATTGTCGAAGCTTACCCTTAAATGTCAAATCATTTCCTGTATTGGTAAATTTTCACACTACAGATTGTCACAGCTTACCCTTAAATGTCAAATTATTTACTGTATGGGTAAAATTTTCAAACAACAGATTGTCACAGCTTACCCTTAAATGTCATATTATTTACTGTATGGGTAAATGTTTACAGTACGAATGGTCACAGCTTACCCTTAAATGTCAAATTATTTACTGTATGGGTAAAATTTTCAAACAACAGATTGTCACAACTTACCCTTAAATGTCATATTATTTACTGTATGGGTAAAATTTCACACCACAGATTGTCGAAACTAACCCTTAAATGTCAAATTATTTCCTGTATGGGTTAATTTTCAAACCACAGATTGTCACAGCTTACACTTAAATGTCATATTATTTACTGTATGGGTACAATTTTACAGTACGGTTGGTCACAGCTTACCCTTAAATGTCAAATTATTTACTCTATGGGTAAATTTTCACACTACAGATTGTCACAGCTTACCCTTAAATGTCAAATTATTTACTGTATGGGTAAAATTTTACAGTACGGATGGTCACAGCTTACCCTTAAATGTCATATTATTTACTGTATGGGTACAATTTTACAGTACGGGTGGTCACAGCTTACCCATTAATGTAAATTTATTTACTCTAGGAATTGAGTAGTATAACAGCCCTGAATGTGATACCCAAACTAGAGCGAGTGCACTCCTTAGTTATATTCGCTAAGCGGTAAGCACATCCCGTATTGTATTTTGCTTTACATTAAGAGTATAAAACGCCTTTCACTTCTAACTCTAACTGAAAAATGTTACAAAAAGGGGTTGAGACGCTGGCGCACCTTTCATTGTATTTTGTTTAACTTCAGGGGCGAGAGTAACCCCCTAATGTACCATTTCAATGTTGATAAATCTAGTCACACACCTGACAGGTACCTTATGACCTGGCTGTTACTAATATAAATGTTGATAAATCTATTCACACACCTGACAAGTACCTTATAACCTGTCTGTTACCAATATCTATGTTGATAAAACTAGTCACACACCTGACAGGTACCTAATGACCTGTCTGTTACTAATATCTATGTTGATAAATCTAGTCACACACCTGACAGGTACCTTATGACCTGTCTGTTACTAATATAAATGTTGATAAATCTAGTCACACACCTGACAAGTACCTTATAACCTGTCTGTTCCCAATATCGATATTGATAAAACTAGTCACACACCTGACAGGTACCTAATGACCTGTCTGTTACTAATATCTATGTTGATAAATCTATTCACACACCTGACAGGTACCTTATGACATGTCTGTTACTAATATCTATGTTGATAAATCTAGCCACACACCTGACAGGTACCTTATGACCTGGCTGTTACTAATATCTATGTTGATAAATCTATTCACACACCTGACAGGTACCTTATGACATGTCTGTTACTAATATCTATGTTGATAAATCTAGCCACACACCTGACAGGTACCTTATGACCTGTCTGTTACTTATATCAATGTTTTGTTACACTTATGTATCAGGGGTAGGGTCTAACATTAGGCTCAGTAGGTACAAATAAGTGTTGATATTATGTTAAATTTCTAAATAAAATAACGTTATTGTACAACTGAGATTTAACATTAATTTACGAAACCTGAAATCTGTATTTAATTTTCATTGCCGTGATACCACACATTAATGATTGGCATACATGTATATACATATAGGGACTTGTGTGGACCTCCTGATAGATAACAGTTACCACCAAAATCGACAAACTAGATCAAATGCACCACAGTTTACATCCAGTTATCTTAACCTTTCGTCCGTTGACATTGAAACATTACATGTAAATCCTGGGAAACATTGTTTAACACTATGTGGATTTTATTTTAGACATATAAGCTTACCTCATGAAATTGAAATTAATGTGAGTCAAATAAAGTTTACCTATATTTGTGATCTTGATCTCTGACGCTTGGTTTTACACTTACTGACAATGTTAAATTCAGCACCGAGTATAGTAAATGGCTATACAAACATTAGTTTGGTGATCCCAAACCCACGATACAATCTCCATTGTTGATCTATCGCTGTATTATCTATGAGTACGGTAAACTGGAGCCATCTATTGTGTTGCACTTTAGCTGTCTTTAAATCCTTACAAGGCATTCACTCATTTGTTACGCATCTCCAGTAACATTTTGGCCGTGTCCTCATAAAATCACAAATGCGTTTTTTTTTATCGAAACTCAATGAACGATAGCGAACAGAAAGTTCGGACAATTCTCGAATTGTGTTTAATTCGTAAGGCAAACCGAGAAAAAAGTATGGACTATGACAATATAAACATGGTGACCATTGGAAAAGAACAAGTGGAGAAGGCAAGGTGTATTCTGCTACATCCACGACACATTTAGATCGATAACAAGGATATTGATAATTAAACAATAAAACACACCAATGACCATAATCGAAATCATCGACCTTCATATTAAAAACAAATAGCGTACTTTCCAATGAGATCATGAGATGCCAACGAAAAGCTTGCCCATCGTCTTTATTCATCAGCCATTAAAAATTATGTTAAGAACTATTAAAATATACATATTTTGTAATACATATTTTGTATAGTACTTTTACATATAGACGTTTATGTAAAGATCAATAAACAAGATAGAATAAGTGTTTACGTCCGTAACTTTCAAGTGCAGACGAGGTATGTAAAAAGTCAGCATATTTTTCCTGCTTTCAGACCAACCTTTGCACAACATGTGATAGGATGCAATGTTCGTTCAGATAACATATGGACATTGTTCGTTCATATGACAAGATAAACAAAATAAACATTTTGTTACATGATTAACGTTTGAGAGTAGACCAGGTGTTCAAAAGTCGTCTTCCAGAACCTTTGCACAACACGTGGCAAAACGTAAAGTCTCAGATAACATGCGGACATATTTCGTGGAAATCACCACCGCGACTTCTATAAACAGGACACAATCACACATACAGCAGAGGTAGGAAAGCTGAGCAGCATGAGGTGTTAACCCTAACACATAGTAAGTATTGCAGTTAAACATCTTTGTTAAGTAACTGTCTATTTGATTATGNTAGTGAGTTTTAAAACAAAACTATTGAATTGGGTACAACTTTCCAGATAACAAATATTTAGTAGAATGAATTTACATGCAAAATTGTGAGATAGTATCTTGTTTATTGACACAATTATTAAAGGTTTAAGATTAAGATTAAGCTAATCACCTTTTGAACAACTGGGTTCAAAAGTCGTCTTCCTGAACCTTTGCACAACACTTGGCAAAACGTAATTTCTCAGAAAACATGCGGACATATTTTGTGCACGTGGTGTGCACGAAATATGTCCGCATGTTAAGACACTTTTTGAGTATATTAAGTACCGCGACTTCTATAAACAGGACACAATCACACATACAGCAGAGGTAGGAAAGCTGAGCAGCATAAGGTGTAAACCCTAACACATAGTAAGTATTGCAGTTAATATTGCAGTTAAACATCTTTGTTAAGTAACTGTCTATTTGATTATGTTCACTGTAAAGTGGACATTTTCGCGTGTTGAAATGTTGGTGTTGGTATTTGTTCTGTTATCTACACACCATATATGTAATGTTTATATTCGTTTAGTAAATATTTGCCTGTGGATATTTTCTTTGCGCTAGGTATATTCAACGCGCAAAACCCGCGAATACTTTCACACCGCGAAAATGTTTACGTTTACCATATATGCATCTAATCATAAAAATGGATAAAATGTCTTTTTGCTACTTTGTATATATTTTTGTATCTTATGTAAAATAACGCGTAATCGGATATGTCATATATATGCCTAACGTTTGAAGAAGAACCAACGAAATTCAATTTCATCATGTTTTATCGAAAGGAAAATCGCATTGAACGACGGGGTATAAAACCCTCTCCTTTGGTTCAAAAGACAAAACATGATGATAATAGAAGCAAAATTTGAAATAATTGCATGAGAAATGTCATCTGTCAATTACCTATTCAATGGAAGTAGATATATAAAGTTCAATGCCATGAAATGTAGTTGTTCATGGTACATCGTAAAGATTTTGCGATGCAAAAATACAGATACATATCAATTTTGATCGAAATCGGACTAGAACGCATATTCGAACAAGCAGAAGCCAGATCTTTTATTTATTCGAATGGTCCTGAAAAATGCATGATGATTAAACTACATACTGTCCGGTATCTTTCTGGTAACGATTTCTGTCTGAATTTATATTGTACGGTATTTTATCATTGACGATTTCCTATTGTATCCTGCCCGGTAACTTATTGCTGACGATTTCCAATTGTATATTATCCGGTATCTTAATCATGACGATTTTTTGGTGTATATTGTCCTGTATCTTATTACTGACGATATTCTGGTGTATATTGTCGGGTATCTTATTACTGACGATATTCTGGTGTATATTGTCCGGTATCTTATTGGTGACGATTTCCTGGTGTATATTGTCCTGTATCATAATACTGACGATTTCCTGGTGTATAATGTCCTGAATCATATTACTGACGATTTACTGGTGTATATTGTCCGGTATGTTATGGGTGACGAATTCCAGGTGAATATAGTCTTGTATCTTATAACTGAAAATTTCCTGTTGTTTATTATATTGTCATTTATCTTGTTGCTGACAATTTCCAATTGTATATTGTCCGGTATGTTATTGGTGACAATTTACTGGTGTATATTGTCCTGTATCTTATTGGTGACGATTTCTTGGTGTATATTGTCCGATATCTTATTTCCAGGTGAATATAGTCTTGTATCTTATAACTGAAAATTTCCTGTTGTTTATTATACTGTCATTTATCTTTTTGCTGACAATTTCCAATTGTATATTATCCGGTATATTAATCTTGACGATTTACTGGTATATATTGTCTGGTATCTTATTGGTGACGATGTCCTGGTTTATATTGTGCGGTGTCTTATTTCTGACGATGTCCTGGTTTATATTGTGCGGTGTCTTATTGGTGACGATTTCCTGGTGTATTTTGTCCGGTATCTTATTGGTGACGATTTCCTGGTGTATAATGTCTTGTATCTCATTTTCCAATTGTATATTATCAGGTATCTTAATCTTGACGATTTACTGGTATATATTGTCTGGTATCTTATTGGTGACGATTTCCTGGTGTATATTGTCCTGTATCTTATTCCTGAAGATGTCCTGGTGTATATTGTCCTGTATCTTATTCCTGAAGATGTCCTGGTGTATATTGTCCTGTATCTTATTACTGATGATTACCTGGTGTATATTGTCCTGTATCTTATTGGTGACGATGTCCTGGTGTATATTGTCCTGTATCTTATTGGTGACGATTTCCTGGTGTATATTGTCCTGTATCTTATTGGTGACGATTTCCTGGTGTATATTGTCCTGTATCTTATTGGTGACGATTTCCTGGTGTATATTGTCCTGTATCTTATTGGTGACGATTTCCTGGTGTATATTGTCCTGTATCTTATTGGTGACGATTTCCTGGTGTATATTGTCCTGTATCTTATTGGTGACGATTTCCTGGTGTATATTGTCCTGTATCTTATTGGTGACGATTTCCTGGTGTATATTGTCCTGTATCTTATTGGTGACGATTTCCTGGTGTATATTGTCCTGTATCTTATTGGTGACGATTTCCTGGTGTATATTGTCCTGTATCTTATTGGTGACGATTTCCTGGTGTATATTGTCCTGTATCTTATTGGTGACGATTTCCTGGTGTATATTGTCCTGTATCTTATTGGTGACGATTTCCTGGTGTATATTGTCCTGTATCTTATTGGTGACGATTTCCTGGTGTATATTGTCCTGTATCTTATTGGTGACGATTTCCTGGTGTATATTGTCCTGTATCTTATTGGTGACGATTTCCTGGTGTATATTGTCCTGTATCTTATTGGTGACGATTTCCTGGTGTATATTGTCCTGTATCTTATTGGTGACGATTTCCTGGTGTATATTGTCCTGTATCTTATTGGTGACGATTTCCTGGTGTATATTGTCCTGTATCTTATTGGTGACGATTTCCTGGTGTATATTGTCCTGTATCTTATTGGTGACGATTTCCTGGTGTATATTGTCCTGTATCTTATTGGTGACGATTTCCTGGTGTATATTGTCCTGTATCTTATTGGTGACGATTTCCTGGTGTATATTGTCCTGTATCTTATTGGTGACGATTTCCTGGTGTATATTGTCCTGTATCTTATTGGTGACGATTTCCTGGTGTATATTGTCCTGTATCTTATTGGTGACGATTTCCTGGTGTATATTGTCCTGTATCTTATTGGTGACGATTTCCTGGTGTATATTGTCCTGTATCTTATTGGTGACGATTTCCTGGTGTATATTGTCCTGTATCTTATTGGTGACGATTTCCTGGTGTATATTGTCCTGTATCTTATTGGTGACGATTTCCTGGTGTATATTGTCCTGTATCTTATTGGTGACGATTTCCTGGTGTATATTGTCCTGTATCTTATTGGTGACGATTTCCTGGTGTATATTGTCCTGTATCTTATTGGTGACGATTTCCTGGTGTATATTGTCCTGTATCTTATTGGTGACGATTTCCTGGTGTATATTGTCCTGTATCTTATTGGTGACGATTTCCTGGTGTATATTGTCCTGTATCTTATTGGTGACGATTTCCTGGTGTATATTGTCCTGTATCTTATTGGTGACGATTTCCTGGTGTATATTGTCCTGTATCTTATTGGTGACGATTTCCTGGTGTATATTGTCCTGTATCTTATTGGTGACGATTTCCTGGTGTATATTGTCCTGTATCTTATTGGTGACGATTTCCTGGTGTATATTGTCCTGTATCTTATTGGTGACGATTTCCTGGTGTATATTGTCCTGTATCTTATTGGTGACGATTTCCTGGTGTATATTGTCCTGTATCTTATTGGTGACGATTTCCTGGTGTATATTGTCCTGTATCTTATTGGTGACGATTTCCTGGTGTATATTGTCCTGTATCTTATTGGTGACGATTTCCTGGTGTATATTGTCCTGTATCTTATTGGTGACGATTTCCTGGTGTATATTGTCCTGTATCTTATTGGTGACGATTTCCTGGTGTATATTGTCCTGTATCTTATTGGTGACGATTTCCTGGTGTATATTGTCCTGTATCTTATTGGTGACGATTTCCTGGTGTATATTGTCCTGTATCTTATTGGTGACGATTTCCTGGTGTATATTGTCCTGTATCTTATTGGTGACGATTTCCTGGTGTATATTGTCCTGTATCTTATTGGTGACGATTTCCTGGTGTATATTGTCCTGTTTCTTATTGGTGACGATTTCCTGGTGTATATTGTCCCGTTTCTTATTGGTGACGATTTCCTGGTGTATATTGTCCTATATCTTATTGGTGACGATTTCCTGGTGTATATTGTCCTGTATCTTATTGGTGACGATGTCCTGGTGTATATTGTCCTGTATCTTATTGCTGACGATGTCCTGGTGTATATTGTCCGGTATCTTATTGGTGACGATGTCCTGGTGTATATTGTCCGGTATCTTATTCCTGACGATGTCCTGGTGTATATTGTCCTGTATCTTATTGGTGACGATTTCCTAGTGTATATTGTCCGGTATCTTATTCCTGAAGATGTCCTGGTGTATAATGTTCTGTATCTAATTTGGGACGATTTCTTGGAGATACTGTCCGGTATCTTATTGGTGACGATTTCCTGGTGTATATTGCCCGGCATCTTATTGCTGACGATGTCCTGGTGTATACTGTCCGATATCTTATTTGTAACGTTTTCTGGTGTATATTGTCCGGTATCTTCTTCTGACGATTTAATAGTGTGTATTGTCCTGTATCTTATTGGTGACGATTTCCTGGTGTTTATTGTCCTGTATTTTATTGGTGACGATTTCCTGGTGTATTTTGTCCTGTTTCTTATTGGTGACGATTTCCTGGTGTTTATTGTCCGGTATCTTATTGCTGACGATGTCCTGGTGTATACTGTCCG